AAAGAAGAGCTGCATCGGAAATATGTTTGTGAAACCCACTTTTTGACCACAGATTTCAAAACGTCTAGAAAACGATACTTGAAAAACAATATTTTTCCAATTCATTTTCAAAACCAAGATCCATTTGACAAGTTTCCTCTTCGTGTTTTAACACCAACGCGAACATATTCAAGGAAACGGTCGAACGAATGCATAGATATTGATTTTAATCAAGTACCTTCAACCTCGCTCACTTTTACTTCTCCCACATCTAAACACTGGAAGCCTGATCTTATTGAAAACTCTAGGCCTGCCCCTGACACCCCACTGCAGAAAAGAAATAAAGACCAAATCACATTTCTATGCGGCAAACTTGCATTTTATAGGAAAAAATTGAATCGCATTGATAGACAATTGAAAAATCAAAAGGCAAAATGTAATTTAAAATCTTTACTTTTACCGGTACTGGCATGTTTATTTTTAGCTGCGAAAACTTTTGTAGGCATGCAACTTCGCGGTAAAAGGCGCAAGTTTACAAAGGATGAGAAAGATTTTTCAATTTCTTTTTTTTATGTCTCCCTCGGCTTATCGCTTTCTGAAACGACAAGGTTTACTTCTCCCCAGTGTGTCTAGTATCAGAGGCTGGATTGGAGAATGCGTTTTCAAAACAGGTATCGACCATTCTGACCTGGATCAACTAAAAAAAAGGTATTCTAGTATGTCTAAAGAAGAGCGTAAGTGTATTTTGGCATTCGATGAAATGGTCCTCAAAAACAATTTGGATTATTCTAAGAAATTAGAAATTATTGAGGGGTATGAAGATCTTGGTCCTTTGGGACGCGTTCCGAAACAAGCCAAGCAAGTTCTGGTTTTCTCTATTCGAGGCCTCTACCACAAGTGGAAATTGCCAGTTGCCTATTTTGTTTCTGGTAGCGCTATGAGAGGCGAAAAAATAAAATCATTAATTTTATATATCCTTGAAAATTTAAATTCAGTTGGATTCCTTCCGAAAGCAATTGTCTGTGATCAGGGGACAAATAATAGAAATGCCTTCACACTGTTAGGAATAAATGCCACAAATCCATTTTTTTATTTCAAGAACCACAAGATTTTTGGACTTTATGATGTACCTCATCTTTTTAAAAACATAAGGAACAATTTACTTCAGGATAATTTCACCTTGTTTGGCAATATCATCAGTTTTAATTATATCAGAAAAGTGTTTCAAATAGACCAATCTTCTAATACTGCCCGAGCACTACCAAAGCTTACAGAGAAACACATCAATCCAAATCCTTTTGTCTTGTAAATTGGCCTTACAAGTTTTGTCCCATACGGTTGCTGCAGCAATAAAAACATGTGTAAAAAATGGCCAAATCCATGCGGCGGCAATTCATATTGCAAATTTTTTGGAGGACGTTAATCATTTATTTCTTTGAATAGTAAATGTCTCTATTCAAAAAATCCATATAGTTGTGGCCTTTCAGAAAAAAATCCATTAATCTTCCAAACCCTAAGAAAATGATTAAATATTTTTCAAAATTTAGAAAAAAATAGCAACACAAAGAGGCCTCCCTGTTTTGACGGCATAATTCATTCTATAAATGCAATTCTTGGTCTATTTGAAGCTGAAAAGTCTGAAAAACATGCAGTGTTTTTACTCACAAATCGTTTGAACCAGGACTTTCTAGAAAATTTCTTTTCGACCATTAGGCAACATGGTGGATGGAACGTAAATCTCAGTGTGTATATGTTCCGAAAATGTTTTTCAATTCAGTTTATAACAAGTTTTCTAAAACCTTCCAAACATGCAAACTGTGAAAACGATCGTGATCAAAAATTAACGTTTGATTTCAAAAAAATGAAAAAAGTAAAAGTTGCTACAAATACTATCAATGAGCATTACACCCTTCCAAACAATTATCTAAATTTTGAATCGGAACTTTCCGATTCTGAAATGGAGGCAGAACTATCCTCTCCTGATAAAGGTGATAAGGGCTCGCTGGAGGATTGTGCTAATACATACTATACTGAGTATTTAGTGAGGAAAACTCTCTCAAAATTTCATTGTGAAAACTGCGAAAACAAATTGAAATCTGAAAATAGAAACCTTTTAAGTGACCCAAGAAATTTGTTTATATTGGAAAAAAATTATGGATCCAAAGATAAATGCTTCTTGGTAGAACCGCATGAAGTTGTGGCTAATGTGGTAGAAAAGTCAATGAGGATTTTTACAAAAAAAAATTCCATATATAAACACCAAGAGTTAGTATTCACGAAAATTAAAAACAAAGTTTTTAATCAAAATGTCTTATGGCTTGGAAACCCTGATGACGTTTGCCATCATCATAGAAAATTTTTGTTAGAATCTCTGGTTCTAACAAATTTATTTAAATTTTCAAAATGGGAAGCTACAAAATTGAAAACGTTAGAAGCCGAGAAAAAGAAGAAAAAAAAATCCATTTCAGCTTTCACTAGAAATAGAAAACTTAACAATTTACAAAATAAGTGAAATTTATTTATATTAAAAAAAAATCTTAACATTAACAATTTATTAATTTGCGTATAATAGGTATTTAGTAGAAGATGCAGTAAAAAATTGGTGCCTTAATGTATGGTTTGGCCTATTTAATGATTTTGGACTAGTTATTTTAGAACTATTGGCAACAGCGTAACGCGCGAATTTGAATTATGACAGAAATGCGCGCCATCTCGTATCCATCATCTAAAATACCAAAGCCTGAATTGAATTTGGAGGCTCGCTTTCGATAGCGAGCCTCCAAATAGCGTCGCAGATTTTTACCATTTGACTGGACGTCTATTCGTAGTATTTAAGTCTATGCTTTAACATAGCCAATTTTGAAAAAGTTAACCATAAGTTTTCTAACAATACGAGTAATATTTTTATTTATAAATTTTATAAAATAAAGTCAACACATTTAAGGGGCGAAAGGCGATATGCCTTCCGTGGGCCTCAACAACCCATGCTAAACGTCTACGCCAAGAATCGATAGAATTGGCAATGTTACGTTGTTCCAGTAGTTCTCCCCAACACTCAATGATTCGGTTGCGCAGCTCTCCCAAATTATTGAACGTAGCCCCATTTCCGTGGACTTTCTCTTCCAAATCCCCTCATTAAAAGTAGTCGCAGGAATTCAAATCTGGGCTATTAGGAGTTTCCACAACTTTGAAACTTGAGGTTTGCGAAGAAGGTTCTGGGTCGTATCCGGCGTAAACAAGAAAAAAAACAAGTTAAATCCTTAGATCACTACTAGAATTTATTACTTAATTGGTTGAGAAAATTAATATACTGAAGCCACTGTGCGTATACAGTGAGGGGCAGGCTACTAGGTATATAGGATATAACTTGACGAATTTGCAAGCGTCCGCATGTGGCAAAATGACAAATAGTGCTAAAGGGTCATTTACATCCACTTAACTTAACTTGGAAAATTAATAATAAAAAAAAATTGAAGATCACATAGTTGTTACATCCACTTAAAAATTAAGAAAATTAACGTGACACACGAAAAGTTGAACCAACTTAAGAAAATCCGTGCAATAAATAATAATTTCCATTTCTGTGCATATAATTTGACTTGACAGTTCAGGTTATAAGTGCGCATACGTCATGTAAGATAATTTACTTCATTGTTAACAGACACCTTCTCAGTTTCGTACGTTAGTTATAATTTTCCGTACCTTAAGTTAAGTTAAGTGGATGTGAATGACCCTTAACTCATGACAACCAGGTAAAAACAAAACGTGAAAAGACTTGTCACTCAAAAAACTAAAGCTAAAGACACAATGGCTGAGATACGTTTTCGGATACGAGACTAGGTGCTGAATTACAGAAGCTCTGCAACAGCAAGATACAAATGCAGGACCTGCAAGTCTGACTTTTTGTACTACAGAAGCAGAATGCATTTGCAAGTCGCCTGCAAATTTGCGCATAGCAAAACGTCCCCGTAAGTTCTTGCAGTTACTTTGACAACTTTGACATTTCAAACTGGTAAATCAGTAGTGCCCAAACACTTTTTTGACAAATATGACGGACTTGCAGGTTTTTTTCTGTAATTTGCTCGTTCCTGCAAATGGAGCACATCTGCAAGTCGCCCATATTTGCAGAACTGCAAATTTGCAGATACAAATATACTGTAATTGGGCCCTTGGCCCTTAACTATGCGGACTACGAAACCACCGTATTTATTCTGCGCGTGCGCAGATCGATGCGGAGATGGATACATATAAAAATTCAGGATAAGCAAGTTGACACTTTAAGCAGGTCCTGAATTTCAAACGTAGGTATCTAACGCAGGATAGATAGTGAATACGGTGGTCTCGTTGCGTTACGTTGTCCGTATTTCCAACTTTATGTTCCTACTCCTCCCACCTAGGAAATTACCTGCTCTAAGGTTAAACACGTTGCAGACAAAACGTTTTGATCAGTAAGCTGAACCGTAGCGTCTGAACTGTGCTTAAGTCTGTATCTAAATCGTACTGAAGTAAACAAACATCAAAGTTGTTGAACGAACGACAGTGACAGGGGTTCAAACGGCTGCGGACGGTGGTAAATTCGTCAAGTTGGATCCTATATACCTAGTAGCCTGCCCCTTACTGTATTGTGTGACGTGAGTAGCAGAGATTAATACATGGTTATGTGGAAATTAACATTACTACTACTGCTGCTTGCTTAGCGACAAACAGTTTTGTTGCCAACCTAATCACGTGACAAAATGATGGTTTAAAATTATAAAGTAACCTACTTTTAGGTGGCAACCACGGTTTGCTGCTTCAGCATTTAGCATTTACTAGAAAATAGAATATAATAAGTTGCATAAAATGTATTACAATGTTTTATGTTTAAATATAATTATGACTTAAAATGAAGGCTTAAACTAAGTAAAGGACAATCAACGATAATTGATATTGACTTTACAACATCCGTCCCTCCTAAGAATGAAATTTGTAACTGGGGTTACGAATTTCACCAAGATTGGAATTACAAACTTTGGAATTACTATCAGCTATTTCGTTAAACTGGACGTCAGCGGTTTTGTCTATTCGCGGCACTCGCGTTGTTAAACAGATGCTTTCAGCGGTTGCACTTGGAGTTTCACATTTCCTTTTATCTTGATTAACGCACATTGTTTTATATTTCTTAAAACCTACGTAACTTACAATTAAAAACACTACTAAATATACTAGAATATAATGATGAATATGGTTAAAATCAATAGATTTTTGGTTTAACATCTTTTGTTCCTTTGCTTTTAATACATCGATGGAATAACTAATTTTTGCTAATTTTTCATTTTGATCAGGAAGTACTAAAATACTTTTATTCAAGGACAAAGTTTCCATGAAACTGAAACGAAGATCTTGATTATTGATTTCATTTTTAATGTCAAGATTTTGAAAATAAATTGTGTTTATGAAGGACTCATTTGCTTCTTTGGTATCAATTGGCTTTAGCGTGACAGAACTTGTAAAAGCGATACAGTGCGGTGCAAGTTCTAAAATGCCTGAATTGTTTAAACGAATAGAGTCTCCAAAATTTTGACACTTTATTGTGAGAGTTTCATCGTTTGGACTAACAAAAATCCAAGAATTTATTTTCAGAATTTTGATAAAAATTGTTTTATGAATGGCACTAACTCGTTTTTCACAAGACTCAGGAATTTTCTGAGGATGAGTGTACAACAGTGCCTCACAATCATTATGTATTGGTAAAAGGAACAAGGGATATTTTTCTTTACAAACGTACTTATTATCTATTCTTGAACAATCTTTCAAATCATTGTTATCAAGAAAAAAATAGTTTCGCTTAAGACTATCTATTACTAAGTAATGGTGTTCTGATGAAATAAATGAGAATATATGAGAATGTTTATCATTATTCACTTTTATAGGTAAACTTGTCATCTTAACGATATTGTACGAAATATCACTTACAAGGGGTATGTATAAAATAAAGTACAATTTATAATTTGAGTAAAACACATTTGGATGCATTGTTTTATACAGGTCATGAGAATAATGATGATAAAGAGGTACAGGAAATGATAACCCTTTTGGTAAATACATGCTTTGCTTAACTAAATGGTTTATGAGCCTTTTTGGACTTAGGACTAAAGGATGTAAAATACCATTTTGAGCATACAAAATTATGTTTAATAGATCACTTTGGTAAAACTGGAACTGTTCGGAGACCAGTTCGAATAGAGAAAAATACTCAGAGAACTGTAATGCAAAATTTTCATATGAAGTGATATTATCAATAACACCTTTTATGTGATCATTGATGAAAGTTTCAATTTGATTGACTTTTCCGTTTAAATTTTCAAAAATTTGTTTATTTGCTTGATTTGATGAGTTGAGAGATAGAATGGTATTTTCAAAAATACTTGTTTGTTCTGATAGTAAGTGTTGCATATTTATCTGATTTGTTTCCAGTTTTTGGAGAATTTCGTTGAAATGTTTAGCATCATTTTCATCTAAGGTTCCAAACAAAACCTTTGCAACATTGCCTACGGCATTGACTAAACCTCGTTTGGTTCGATTTAAAAATTGCTGGCTATTTAGAATTTCTCCAATTATACTGTTATTATCTTGAACACGGTGAAGAACACGACTTATCCGATTAAATAGGCTGTTTGCCATAATGCAAGGTTTTAAATATTCCTTTTGAGAATCTCTCAAATCGCAAAGTTCTACCATTTTTTTATAACTAAAAATAAAATTATCGTAGAGGTCATAATAATTTTCTAAATCTATAGAATTAATCAACTTCCATGAACTAGTTTCTAAATGAACTGTATCAAAAGATTCGTACAGGATACCAGCACTTCTGTTGACTGCCTGCAAGGTGAAAAATTTCGTTTTTGTATCGCCCAGTATGCATGCAAATGAAATGGAAAGAATTGCTAGTATGGCTTTCATCTGAAACAAGAATAAAATGACTACCTTGAGTTATATAATTTTAATCGGTTATTATGAACCTTTTTTTTTTTTTTTTTTTTTTTTTTTTTTTTTCTGCTTTCTTGTCAGAAACCACCACTGTGGTTTGTCGACAAAGCCTCCAACATCACACACAAACCAAATCAAACAAACAAACAAACAAACATCCATGCACCTAGCCGGGATTCGAACCCGAGACCCACTGCATGCAAAGCGAAAACACAACCGCTGAGCTGCTTGGGTCTGCAGTGATGTTTATTTTTGACTAAAATTGTTGAATTTATTTCTGAATTTGCTTTAATTACTTTATAGGGGCCATTCCAAATTGGTTCTAGTTTTTTACATTTCCCTTTTGCGTTTGATTGGTTTTTAAGTAATACCATCTCACCCTCCTTAAAAGTGACTGGATTAATAGTTTGGTCATAAGTGGTTTTCGATTTTTCTTTAGAATTGATAAGATTTTGTTTAGCCAATTCATAACTATGTTGCAAGCGACTTTTTAGCTCGTTCGCATAATCGTCATAGTTGTAGTTTAATTCAGGAGGCTTTTGTAAAGAATTAGGAATTTCCGCAGGGAACCCATAAAGAAGTTCAAAAGGAGTAAAGTTTGTGGCGGAATGAATGGAAGTATTATAAGTAAAAATTGCATAAGGGATCCATGTATCCCAATCTAATTGATCCTTTGTGACGAAATTTCGTAAATATTCGCCTAGACTTTTATGTGACCTTTCAAGACTGCCATTGCTTTGAGGTCTGAAAGCGGTTGTTTGAATTTTTGTAATTTTTAATAATTTACAGACATTTTTAAATAATTCGCTTAAAAAGTTTTGACCTTGATCCGTTAAAAGATAAGTTGGAGTACCGTGTCTACAAATGATGTGTGAAACGAATTTTTCTGCAATGGTTTCGGCTTCTTGATTTTCAAGAGGTACAGCTTCACAAAATTTTGTTAGTTCATCTTGAAATGTTAGAATATATTTGTTTCGGGAATTTGTTACGGACAGAGGTCCCACGATATCAAGGCTTACCTTTTCAAAAGGTTTGGAGGCTGTAGTGGTGACAGTTAATGGCATCTTTGTGTATTTTGATGATTTATTCCTTTGGCATAAATCGCAAGATTTTACAAAATTTTTAACACTTTTATATTGATTAGACCATTTATACTTACTTCTTATTCTATTAAAGGTCTTATTGACACCTAAATGACCTCCCAGAGGAGAATCATGGAATTCTTTTAGGATTTTACGAATTTCATCCTTAGATTTAATTTTCATTAGATTATTATGATGAATTTCTACCAAATCTGAATTACCACGAAATATATATCTGAACATAATGCGAATGTTTTCGATTTGTAAACTTTTATACGGAGAATATTTCGTAGGATTAGAAAAGGCTATTTTATGGTAATCACCTGTATGTGCAAAAGATTTCAAACATTTAATTGCTTCGAAAATTATTTCATTCGTTACAATAGTATTAGGTTCATGCGTTGGAATAAAAACATAATTAATGTTATTAATTGTAATAAGAGTCGGTGTTAAAACGATTAAGGTGTCCGATTGCAACTTGCATTTTGCTTCGTCGTTAAGGTCATCGGGAAGTTGCGAATTGTCTTTACTTATGAAATAGGCACGCAAATATTCAGGGTTGGAATCAGAAATATTTTTGTGTGAATCTTTTATATTATTATTAATGATTATGGAGGACTCCTTTTCTATGAGAAAGTTTTCAAAGGTTAATTGATTAAGATCGTAATTTTTGTTTCGTGTGCTTACTGGATTCACGTCGTATACGATTCGACTTAATGCATCGGCATTTGTATTATATTTGCCGGGCTTATGGATTATTTCGTACTCGTATTCTTCGAGTTTAAGACGAAATTTCATTAACCTACTTCCTGGGTCTTTCACGGAAAATAACCATATTAAAGGTTTGTGATCGGTGACAATCAAAAATTTACGGCCATATAGATAGGCTCTGTAATGCTTGACTCCCCAGGTTATGGCTAATAGTTCTTTTTCAATGACACTATAGTTTCGCTCTGCTTTATTCAATGTCCGGGATGCGAAAGCAATGGGACGGTCTGAGCCAACTGTCCCTTGTGAAAGTACTGCTCCTACAGAAAAATTGCTTGCATCACAAGTGAGAATAAATTCCTTCGAAAAATCGGGGTACTGCAGGACCGGAGGATTACACAGTTTTTCCTTGAGAGTTTCGAAAGATTCTACACAAAGAGGGGACCAATGGAAAGAAATGTTTTTCTTGAGCAAATTATTCATGGGTTGGGCAATTTTTGCAAAGTTTTGTATGTGTCTTCTATAGTAACCAGCTAACCCCATGAACTGTTTGATTTCAGTTGGAGATTTAGCAGTAGGAAATTCTTTAATGGCTTTAATTTTATTTTCATCCGGTTTGATACCATCGGCAGTTATTGTATGACCCAAATAGGTAAGCTCAGGGCGAAGAAATTCGCATTTTTCTGGCTGCAATTGAAGGTTATGAAGTCGAAACCTATTGAAAACATCCTTGAGTTTGGAGTTGTGATCCTCGAGAGTTTTACCATATATAATTACATCATCAAGGTACACAAAACACTTAATTCCTTGAAATCCTAGCAAGACACTGTTCATTAATTTTGTAAATGTAAAGGGGGCTCCTTTTAGACCAAAGGGCATACGATTGAACTCGTAATGATTATTAGACGTACTAAAAGCAGTTTTGTGTTTGTCTTTTGGGTCGGTACGGACCTGATGATAACCAGAAGCAAGATCGAGGGTAGAGAAAAATTTAGAGTTTCCAAGCTGATCCAAAATTTCTGTTATATTGGGCAACGGAAAAACTTCAGAAAGGGTTTTGTCGTTAAGTTTACGAAAATCTACGACTACGCGCCATTTACGATTACCATGAATATCAGGTTTCTTGGGTACAACCAATAAAGGAGAATTATAAGCAGACGAGGATTCAGAAATTATATCATCTTTGAGCATTTTGTCAATTTGACGTTTGACTTCTTCCTGTTGGTGATACGGCAGACGATAGGGTCTAACATTGATAGGAATATCATCTGTGGTAGGAATAGAATGCGTAATTGTTTCAGTACAAGATAAAATGTCGGAATCAAGAAAGAAAATTTCATGGAACGATTTACAAATTTCAAGAATACTTTCACGCTCGTCGCTAGACATATGAGACGTCCGAATCGAATTGGTAAGCAGATTAAGACGATCGAGATTGCAAGGAGTTTTATTTATTGAAAGAACATCGTAAAGTTCAAGATTTTCAAAACTCAATTGAGGATTTTCGAGTGTGACAGATTTTTCATTAGTATTTATAAATGTGATAAAACAATAACCATGAACTGGTTTAATAATAGAGTTACCCACATAAACACCTTCGCATATTTCTGCTGATAGGCATAAAGATTCATGAACATGAGAAGTTTTAACCTTTTGTATGACTTCGCTTCTAGCAGGAATTTTAATAATGGTTTTATTTTTTGATGTGTCAAATGGTAAAGGAATTATTTTATTTTCATAGGAAAGAGATAAGGTATTATTGTTGTAATCGATATTAGCCTTGTATTTTATAAGAAAATCCTTTCCAAGTATGCCATCTTGCGGTATAGGAAAATTATCTTTTACTAAATGTACAGGGTGAGTAATATTGACTCCTCCAATTTTAAACTCCCCATAACAGATTCCGTAAGTAGCAATTAAAGAATCGGAAATGCCTTTAAGATATGCCTTATAGTCGGTATAGCATATGGCGTTTCCTTTAATGCAAGATTTTTTTTAAATTGTAATTTGAGAACCAGTATCAATTAAAAGATTAACTTCGTCATTGTTAGCTAAAGAAAAGGGCATATGAATGCTATCTGCTTCTTCAATGACGCAAGGATTTACACAAAGGATATTGGTTTCAGGAAGGGTTGCTTCATTTAAATAAGGATTGCTTGTAGTATAAGAATTATTAGGAATAGCATATTTACTTGTATAGGATTTTGGAACAAGAGGACAAGTAATTTTTTTAGGACTACAAGATTGAGGATTTTGCAACACATTATGTATTTTGACAGAACTTTCTGAAAGATTGAATGATTTTATAGGACGGCAATTTACAATTGGGTCACCGTCGTTGCGTCGCCGCTGCTCGCAACTGGTGCTTGGAAGTTTCCCTGGCTGTAATTATTAGGATTTGCAGAATTTCTAGCGTTTCGATTAGGATTGTTTTTAAATTCATCGGCTCTTTTTTTCTTGAAACAATCTTTGATATGATGACCATGTTTTTTGCAATATGCACAAGTTATATTGGTAACATGAACCTCGGTTTTAATTTCTCGCTTCGGAAATGTAGGAAGCTGTTGAGAAGAAGAGGAACGATTCTTAATAAAGCACTCGTTTTCGACATGTCCATTTTTTTTACAGTAATTACATTTTTTGAATGGTTTATTTTTGTTTTTGTGCTGATTAAAGTTTTCGTTAAGATTTCGCTCTTCTTCGACTGCTGCTTCAATAGCGTCACTCAATTTAGTGAATCTGGAAGCTTTGATTATTAATTTTAAAGATTGATTTAGGCCTTCGACAAAAGATTTAAATGCGGTTTTTGAATTTAAGTTATTGATTGTTGCTGATGCTGCAACGCCTTCAGAAGCTATACAAGCATCATTAAGATCATTTAAAAGCTGTTCTATTTTATTAGCAAACGCCCTAACTGATTCACCAGGTTGTTGTTTAGCTCTAATCAATTCAGACTGTAGTTGAGCAATACTTCTAGTCTCTAAAAACTGTTCTTGAAGAGTAATTTTAAGTTCATCCCAATCTGCAAGGATTTTATGCTTGACAACATTATAGGCAGGACCAGATAATTTAGATTTAATGATGCTAACCAATAATTGTTTATCTGCGACTTGAGACAAATCAGCATTTACAATATCACAACATGAGGCAAATTTGTGAAAATCTTTTCTATCTCCGTTAAAATCGGGAATTAATTTTAAAGCAAAATCAACGTTTAATTTAGGCATGTTTTCGACAATTCCAGTTTCATCAACTATTAAAACAGATAAATGGTTTTCGTATGGCAGGTTATCAGGCTCACTAGAATCGTCAGAGTGATTTTCGTAATTTCTTTCGTCAGACATTAAGAGTTATAAAGCATTTTGTAAGGCAAAAAATACAATAAAATAACAGGGTAAATATACAGATTTAAAAAAAAAATGAATATACAGACACAGTTAACTTACAGTAAAATTCTAGTCTCGAAAAATCGGTAAAAAGTCCAAAAGAATCCCACGGTGAGCGGAATTCGGGAACCAAAATTCAAGAGTACCGGACTCTGGAGTAGCTTCAACTATCCGCGCAGTACAAAGTTACCTTCTGTTTTCTTGGCTAAAGAATGGACCGTTTTCTTGATTGATGACTGGATCGTTTTCTTGGCTGATGACTAAAAAAAAAATTTTTACTCAACAATTCTTTTCTTGTTACTATTGCCGAATAGCTTGAACCAAACTGAACTGCACTTCTTCTCGAGTAACCATCGATTAACCTTCACACCTGACACCAAATTATGTTGTGGAGTTTCCACAACTTTGAAACTTGAGGTTTGCGAAGAAGGTTCTGGGTCGTATCCGGCGTAAACAAGAAAAAAAACAAGTTAAATCCTTAGATCACTACTAGAATTTATTACTTAATTGGTTGAGAAAATTAATATACTGAAGCCACTGTGCGTATATTGTGTGACGTGAGTAGCAGAGATTAATACATGGTTATGTGGAAATTAACATTACTACTACTGCTGCTTGCTTAGCGACAAACAGTTTTGTTGCCTACCTACTTTTAGGTGGCAACCACGGTTTGCTGCTTCAGCATTTAGCATTTACTAGAAAATAGAATATAATAAGTTGCATAAAATGTATTACAATGTTTTATGTTTAAATATAATTATGACTTAAAATGAAGGCTTAAACTAAGTAAAGAACAATCAACGATAATTGATATTGACTTTACAACAAGGCGGCCAGTCAACGGGCTGTATAAAATCCGCAACTTGCTCTCTTAGTAAAGCGGCTATTATCTCACCTGGCTCCATCTTATATACAAACAGTATTTATCACATTTATCTCATAAGAAGAGAAATACAAAAACGTACAATTTTATCAAAGTTTTTGTGAGAACCAAAATCTGAACAATAAATGTTGACTAGGTAAGTTATAAAATTACCTGCATAAAAGTGTAGTCTTGAACTGTGAGCTGTTCAATTCCGGATCAAGGTTCCTAAAGTTAACAGGTTGTCTGGTGATGGGTTACTTGATGACGCATCTAGAGCGCCTTATGGAGATTTGCATTTTGTTCAGGCATACAGATGACGTCATAAAAGTTATCAGGCAACCTACCTCTCTCAAACAACCTTGATTTCGGATAGCATATGACGAACACAAGCCGACAATACTTGCGTGAATCCAAGCGAACTCCTTCGTCGATAACAATTAGTTGTGCTTTGTGGCTTCGAGAAATTGCTGCAGATAGATACCATTAAATAACTGCTGAATTTTTCTTTTCCTTTATCTGCTTTTCAAGCTTGGAGAAAAATTCGTAGTTGGTCGTTTTGCGAATTCTGTACTCTGGATAAGGTGAAAATTTTCCCATCACTGAACCAAATTTTTCGGATTTCAGCACGGGCTCTAAATCTTAGTAGGACAGTTTAAATGTGTAGTCCCGTTTAACATGCTTCAGCATTAAATCACTTTTAATTATTCTTTACTATCGTCTACCTATCTAAGAGAGCAAGTTGCAAATTTTGTAACGACTGGCCGCTGGCCGCCTTATAGCCCAGATTTGAATCCCTGCGATTACTTTTTATAGGGGGACTTGGAAGAAAAAGTCCACGGAAATGGGGCTATGTTCAATAATTTAGAAGAGCTGCGCAACCGAATCATTGAGTGTTGGGGAGAACTGCTAGAACAACGTAACATTGCTAATTCTATCGATTCTTGGCATAGACGTTTAGCATGGGTTGTTGAGGCCCACGGAGGGCATATTGCCTCTTGCCACTGACATGTGTTGACTTTATTTTATAAAATTTATAAATAAAAATATTAGTCGTATTGTTAGAAAACTTATCGTTAACTTTTTCAAAATTGGCTATGTTAAAGGAACTGGGAAATCTTTAGTTTTTTGTCAACAGTCAAAATCTTCATTTCGAATCCTTATCCTATCCATTTATCTTTCGAACAAGCCCGAAATAGAAGAAATATGTCGAGTAGAAAAAAAGTTCTAGCTGAAATAGCATATCCTAGATTTTGCTGTCCATATAAAAAATTGAAATTCGATATTACAAAAAAATCAATATTTCACTTAGTTTTCAACCGATTTTTTCTGTCGAGGTCTTAAAATGTTCGCAAAATGATGAACTTTAAGAATTTATTTAAAAAACTTATACAGGGTGTCCCAAAAAAGTTCCAGCGCTATCCAAAACTAGGCAATTTTTGAAGGAGTCCGCCATTTTGGATTTTTTTCAAATGCCAAAAGTTTTACCCTGATTCGTTAGTCTGTTCATTTCTCTTTCAAACAAGCCAAAACAAAAGAAAATTGGTCAACAAATAAAAAAGTTACAGCTCAAAAACAAAATTCCGGTTTTTTTTGGACCACCCTATATAAGCATATACATAATATAAGGTGTATGTCGAGGAACATAAAAAATATTGATGTAGATATTCAAAAGAACAAAAATAAAAAAATATAACATATTATATAATATAACACTCACTGAACAAGAAAATATTTCAAAAAGAAGAAAAATCCCCGTGAAGTAAAATAAAAGAAAAGCAAAGAGAAGACCAAAACCTAAAAATCCTTTCTGCGGGCCTTGTGGATGGCATATGCCCTAACTTATTCAGATATGACCATTTTACTAGCTTTCCCAGCTTTTTTGGACAGCAGCCCCAATGCTATTATTCGACCTTGTGAGAGGAACACAAAAAGCTTTCAATAATAAGCTTGAGCTTTGAAAACGAATGTTCTGCACTGACTACTATTACAGGCAGCATCAAAAATAAGATAATACGGAGATTACTTCAGTAAAACTAGAACTAAGTTAAGTTCCACATGTTCAATTAAGATTAAATGGAGTAACTCTCGTATTGTACCAATTGAAGCTAATTCGGATTTAGAAGTACATTTGTATTTTTTTTTATAAACTAGCCCTGGCGGGGCCCCGAAAATCACGCCCCCCCCCCTGCAACTGCGGGCCTTTAGTTACGCCACTGGACGCTAGCTCATCGGTCAAAATACGCCCCATAACCCTTTTTACAAAATCATAGAGAGAGTCTCCACCAATACTTGACATAAATTCACCCCAAAACAACACCAGGAGACATTAAAAAACGGAGTTCTTTTGAAGTTTTATGTATTAAAATTATTCAGAACTTAACTATGAATGTACAATTTGTTAAGAGTTCCGGATTAGATCAAAATTTAACAGTGAAGTGAAGAAACTTACAATTTTCACATAGTTGTTTTTCTCATCTAGAGTTTTGTCAAACTCTTTCAAACATTCGATAGTGTTAAATGGGAATTGGTAAGCGTCTTCTGTTGCTGGTAATTCTGATTGAGTTGGCTGGCTGGCTGTTCCGGAATGACCTTTTATAATAGCTATATTCACCGCATCTTTTATCAGAAGTGTTAGATACGATACTCTCGAGCATAACTTCTGTAACTAAAACAAAAATCAAAACTTTATATAAACTTGTCAGAAACATATTTATCATTTATCTGTAGACTTATGTTTGCCAATTCTAAAAAGTAAATTTTATAATAAAACATAAGCTGCATACTGCAAATAATTGAAAATGGTAGATATTTTTACGTCTTGGATGCAAATTATACGCCTAAAATAAGCAATTTATGGCACTTATGAACTTGTCTTGAAAATTGACCAAACAATAAGTAGACGTTGACATGCGTTGACATTTCAATCACGGGTTAACAGTCCTACGTAGATATACATACCCAATATATTATCATCTTGAATGATATTAAGGGAATTGATAGTAATCACTTCTGGTTCCAGTGATTCCATTATTATTTCATGAAACATTGCTTTTTCAATGATTGGATTGAATTCCGTATTATTTTTATTATTGAATTCGCCACGACTAGGCATTTCACTTTTGGAAACTAAAAATTATTTAAATAGAAGCAAAGCTATTTACTGCTGTTTGAGAATGATGGCGGATGAGAGTACTGCTATTTTCGCTTAAATTTACTTTTCCCTGGGCCCCTGCTCTCAGACTCTGAGTCCAAGCAGTCTTTAGCGGCCAGTTTTTCCATGGCCATGGCGTCTTTATTCATATAAAGGAGTAAAGAAAGTGGAGAGATTTTATCAATTATGTAATTACCAAAGTAATTTTATACTAACCATAAACTCCATATATTTTTGTAATTTTGTAGGTGGCCATTCCAAATTTGGCGCATTGGCCCTAATGATCAGTGTTCTCAAATTTTTGGCACTGTTTGGCCAGTATGCAATATGATCATTCAAGGTCCAGCATTCCGGGATCACACTTATTCCTCTTTAAAACAAGTCGCTGCATATAGGTACCAAAAATGTTTTTTTTTTTTGTCAAAGTAATATAATTCGCAAAATATTGTACTTATAAGTAACGAATTTATTTGATAAATATGCATATTAGACAAACCTTTGGTGTTTAAAAGTTCATGAGCATAAGTTTTGGTTTTACTGTTATAATACAATTTTAGTTATAAGTATGTACTGCAATTAGTATTTTCTTTATTATGCATTTAAACTACAATAATAATTTGTATATTATACCTAATTCAAAATTAGCATATACTTACCAGTCTTGCTCAACCTGTTCATTGTCCACCAGATCTTTTCGATAAAGCTTGCTGTCTTTTATTGATAGCCAAAAGACCTCTTTTTTCAATGGTTGTTCAGAAATTTTATAAAACTTGACAACCGGGCATCTAACAAAGGAAAAACCTTTAAGAGGTAGTGCGGTGCCGGGGAACGACGAGCCCTTCTGCAATAATGTGTCCCAGGAACAGCGGCGATCTAGCTCAACAGCCAGTACTCGAGAACCCTTTGCAGAACATACATGCGAGCGGCGCCGGCGCTCCGATTTTTTACGCATTTCTTTTCGAGTTCTCATTACAAATTTAGCAATTTCTTGTAATTTTTAGAATTAAAGTTTAGTTTATTCAGTTTTTCGAAAGAAATTGTTTTATTTTAACGACAGAAGAGGCTGAACCAGGCCTAGCAAACGATACAGTCCACTATTATAAACAAACTTGAACAATGGTGTCAGCCAGTTTTCATGAACAACAGCGAGACCTTCGCCTCCTGTTTCGTCGACCTGCACGACGCAGTACATTATCACTCCACAACACAGAATTGAAAAAAAAAAAAAACGAAAAAATCCCACGCATAGACGCATAGATCACACGACAGCGAAAAGCAAATAGAAAATGGAAAAATGGCAAAATGACCGACCCGCCGTCCCACCAAATGGTCCAAATGCTGAAGGCTGAACCACTAAACCGTGTGCGTGCAGTAGTACTCTACTTGACTCGTCAGTTCAGAGGGCGCTGTCGAGTGTCGAGTGAATTTCAACCAATCATACGGCTTCGGGGTGGCGCGCTGTTTGTCTGGAACCGGGACCATTTTTTTTTAAATTAAGGACATTAAATAACTGTTATCGACGGGTAGTTTGGGCGCTAATTAGGTATTTTAGGCGCGTCTGGCGTAAAAAACATATTCTCCTAGAGAATCTAGGCATAATTAACTGGAGGTGGGGAAAAAAAAATTAGGAAATATTAGATTTATTAAAAATTACCCATTGTTATTACTTTTATCAGATTTGATTTGATTTTTATTTGCAATCATATGTAATCTTGTCATTACTGACTTTTTAAAAATTTGGAAGTGACACTTTACCTGTGTCACTTCCCTCTTCGATTTCCCTCACCGATTTCCCTATTCGACTTCCCTCACCGATTTCCCTCACTCTAATTTATTTACCTTTGCTGGCAACAATGAGAACATGTCAGGTAAAAACGTCAAAGTAGTGAATGCACATTTTGGCATGTTTGTTTTATTTTTTTAATATTAAAAAAACTGATTGACTAATTTTAATTAATTGTGTGCTTGCAAATAAAATAGTATACAAACCTCGGAGGAAAGTTTTCATTTCTGTCTCGAGATTATTAGTCAATCTCGACTATATAAATCTCTCGACAGTAATGAAACACTTCCCTACTCGGTATGTAATATTGTCACAACTACCCGCTTTACGGGGGTGACATGGGGGGTTTGTAGCTTTAGGGGTTGATGGAGAGAAAATCGCTCAGGTTATATAAAAATATAGATACATATTTTCCCAAATATAACCTTACATGTACGCTAATCCTATAAGATACATGCCCTTCGAACACTGGGGTCTTTATAGGGAGCCACACGTCAATGCTGCTTGGGGGACTGTAGATTAGTTTATCGTCACCCGTATGCCTTGTCCAGAGGGGCGTTACCAACGAGAGGTAATTGCACTGGACAACGATAAGGCTGAAGATACCCAGAGGGGCGTTCCCAACGAGAGGTACTTGCACTGGGGAGACTTAATTCCAGAGGGGCTTTTCCAACGAGAGGTACTTGCACTGGTTTAAGTCTCCCTTTGCTGCGGCTGCAACGCAATTTATATCAATTTATTGCTGAATTGCAATAAACATCCCATCGAATCGGCAATTAAATTAATAAGGTTAAATACCGGGTCCTCCTTTCCTAAGCAGCTAGTTGACATATGCCCCCCCTCCATGAAGCATTGGACCCCAATGCTTGGAAGAGACATTTACAACAAAATATATACAAATACCATAATGTCAAGAAATACAATAATATCCTTATCCTAAAAATATCCCTTCTTTACAATAATAGCCTAATTATAAAATATCCCTGATGCTTAACAATTATATAATCCAAATATCGCGTATAGAGAAAAAAATTAAAAATTAAAATTAACAAAAGTTTTTTATGGTGGGATGGGTGAGGGTGCATTATTATTCAGGTTACTACAAAAAAAAATATCTTACAACTAATAAATTTCATCAACTTCACCGCTTCAGCCATGGGTTTTTTTCTTTTGGTCCGGTCCTGTTTTCTGTATTGTGGGTCTGTTCTGGTTCCAAATACTTCTTGGTGGGTCAGCTAGATCGTGGGGTGTTAACGGTCCCACGGTCTAAGTGTCGTTTCCTGGTTTGTTATGCTTCTTTCTTGTTCATTGGTCCATAGCCATTGGTTCCTTCTGGTTTGAAGTTCCTAGCCCCTGCTCAGTCCAGAGCTAGGTCCTTCTATTTTTTTTTTTTTTTTTTTTTTTTTTCTGCTTTCTTGTCAGAAACCACCACTGTGGTTTGTCGACAAAGCCTCCAACATCACACACAAACCAAATCAAACAAACATCCATGCACCTAGCCGGGATTCGAACCCGAGACCTACTGCATGCAAAGCGAAAACACAACCGCTGAGCTGCTTGGGTCTGCAATTACAATGCGTTCCCTCGAATTTGTTTTGTAGTCCGTCCCTGGTTGGTGGTTTTGTATATACATGCAAAAAATAAAATAATATTTTTAAAAAATGTGCTTATTCCTATAATTACATAGTTTAATTAGGACCCACATTTGGCCCATCAGTTTAATTCGCCCAATTGTTAAAAATGACCCCTCCAGGTAAGTTCAGAAGAAGTATAGTTTGGTTTAGTGTATTCATGTGTTTTTCCTTGTAGCCCGCTCCAGACTTAGGGCTGTCAGGAGACTTGTGCGGCGGGAGTGCCCCAATATTGGTTTAGAAAGTAGTTCTATTGTTTTTTCTCTATTTAAATACCTATATATATGTGTCTTCTTCCAGAATTATGTAGTAATGTACGTGAGGGTGGTTGGAGAGTGGCCACCCCCCGTGCCAGGGATCCAACGTACCCTTTTTATGGGTCCCTTTGTGGAGCCATTTGTTTAATTTGTGCCGTGGTGCGGGCTAGGCGACCGCTCGTCATAATTGATTTTTAGTAATACATAGAGTTGTAAGAAAAAGTTTTTTTTTTTTTTCTTTTTGGTTCCCTCGCTTTCAGAGAATATTTACTATTCCACTCAAAGTTCCACTAAGTCCACCTCTGGTGTTTTGTTTCTAATCATTACGTACTTCTGTAACGTCATTCAAAGGTATGCTCGCGTCGCATTTATTTTTATGAAAAGTGCAGGTCAGCGTTCCGTCAGGTCTACGGCCTGTAATTCGCAATATGTATTCGTGGTTTTCTACGCCCGTATCGTTTCTTTCTGGTTTATGTGGCAAACTTTCTTTTTTAGCTTTATTTTGTAGGTACATAAACCCTTTTCCCAATAGGTACATGAGGAATAGTACAAACAAACCGCATGTAGTGTAGAATATTACATCGTGTTCTGGTGGGTGTTGGCTTTGGTCATCTTTGTCCGAGTCTTGGCCTGTACAAGGGTTGAAGAGTGCAAGGATTAATGGTTGTGGTCTTCTCCATAAAACATATATCAATATTACTGTTAAAACTGTGTTCCATATCGTCATTATACTGTGACTTTCTGTCGTCCAATGGTAAGTTCTGGCAGATGCTTGTCCATATTTTAGTTTTCTTTCAATGTTTTCTAATAGTGCTTTATTTGATGTTAGGTTTCGATGTGGGATCGTCAGCGACCAGTTATGGTTTATACATTCGTGTATATTGTTGAACTTTACTGGCGTAGATGTAGTTAAAGGGTTGAGCACGAATGATTTTAGGTCTGTCCAAGCTGCAGGGATCTCGTGAGTAATGTATAGTGTGTATCTACACTGTGTATCTACTTCCTTGCAGGGGAATCTCTTTGGTATTATTATTTTATAATTTATTTTTAGGATACACTGGCATGGCATGAGGACTTTGATTGCCCCTGGTTGTGCTGTACCGTTTTTCTCTAGGACTGTGGACTTCTTTGGGCAATCTACTTTTATATCTCCCTGGGGGTGGGTTATAATAAATTGGTCGTCTCCAATTTCCGTGATAACCAGGAGGGTTGATTTGTGATACCTCATAGGGCAATGGCTGGTCAGGTCTTCCACTGTAGTGCCTTGAAATAATTTTGTGGCACACGAAGGGCCCTGGAGTGTGTCGCCTGAAAACCTTGGCAGGTAGCATAGCTTATTTTCATACGGGTGACATAGATGAAGACCTGTTCCTGTTATCTGTCTTGTGGTTTTGCTCTCATGGTAGTCATTGCCTCCAGCTACCGCCGTATAGAGTGTGTTGTGTTCGATGATACATGTCTGACCCTGCCATGAAAAA